GGGGGGGGTGTCTGAATTGAGCGATCAATTATTAGACCCGGACGTCCCAACACTTGCTTCGCAAGACAAACTCAAGGTATCCCCCAAAGGGCTACCTTTCGTGATATATGGAAGCCAGCTCGAATGTACTTCACAGCACAAACAATAAGGAGGCTTAAAGAATCGTTATCCGGACCAGTTTGACGCACCCTTCAGAAAGCAAGTTCAAGACATTCCGTGCTTTTGGGCTGGAAGCTGGGCAGCTGGGCATCGATCGCACGCTCATGTTGGGCCGCTGTGCGCAGGTGGGGTTCTGGGGTGAGGAACGCCCAAAACAAGAACCCCAAACAAGGATGAACGAGGGCTGAACTTTCCATTTGGAACACTGACTGGGGGATATTAAGGGCACTTTAGGCTTTGATGCGCGCTTTTGCTGCACCAAATCTCCTGGTGAAATCCAGCATGTCAATGCATTTCATCTGCTTCTTCACCAGCTCGACCTCATCCCCCCCATCAGACCCATTAAACCCGTCATAACCCGTCCCGCAGGAATTCGCCGAAAGCACTGTGAGCTCTGAAAGGTGCGTCTGAATGGTGCGCTGCGCCAGGTTGCTGGGGAGATCCTCGACCTCGGCAGTTGCTCGGAGTCCGCCCTCGCAGGTTCGCCTGCTAAGGGTACCATATATAGTCTATCAGGGCCCCCCCCACCTTTGGGGAGATGGAAGAGGGCACCCAACAAAAACAGCTGGCGATATGCTGAATGCTCTGCAGGCATCTGTAAAAGGGCCCACAAGGAGTGGTTAATGATGGTAAATGGAATTCAATGGACCAAGTTAGTGACAAATGGTTAGCCACCAAATTGATCGTTATATAACGGTTTGTCTAAATGGTCAAATGGACACCCCTCAACCTCTACGGGTCCATGATTCGACACCCCACCCCGTTTCCCGGGAGCCCTGGTAGAGGGCTGTGCAGCCGTTGAGGCCGTGGGTTTTTTCGGTCGGAGGGCCCCGGGGTGCGCTGCCTACTGCGGTCCGGTGGCAGGTGTTTGGCGTAGCGAGGCGTGGCCGGAGTGGCCGGTGTGGCTGGGTGTGGCTGGGTGTGGGTCATGGTCTCGGGGGGACCCTGCTTGACCACCGATCGATACTGGGCGCAGAGGTCCACAGAAACGTCATGCTTGGACCATCAAGATGTCTAGAGTTGAGACGTGTTCATCAAGCCTCTTGGCTCACCTGGGGAAACCATGCCTCACTTTCGAAACCTGATAGTAGCAGGCCTGGTGGCCTCACGAAACGCCTTGACCGCCTGAGCCGTGATGGTCACAGCTGCTTACAGTCGACCGTCCACATGTCTAGCTTTGGCAGGCCTACGTACTCTTCACCGCCAAAACATCCTCAAACCGGTGCGAAGTCCAAGGGCATCTAAATGGTCTTAAAACGAATCCGTCCATTCACATTTGCATCCAGTAGGTGGCCTTCCAAAAATCGACACACAATCCAAGAGCAGTTCTGCAGTTTCTGCTCTTTTTTGGCAACAAGGTTTGGGATACCAGAGTGAGTATGGATTTTACGCATCTAGTGTCAGACGCTTGCCCATGACGCGTGCTTCACCACACAGCCCGTTGTTTATTAAAATGGAAACTGGATGGTGCCGGTTTAAACCCTTCCCACAACTATTGGTCAGTCATTCCCAAACAGGGTCGAAAAACACAAAGCAGCACAAAAGTCAATGAAAGCACCAAGCAGAAAAACCGTCTTTGCCAGATTCGGCCTCCGGATTCTTTGTAGGGCCTTTCGGATCCCTCTTGGACCTTTAAACCAGCGATGGAACTTCCCCTTTTCCCGATGGCCCTGGATGGCCCTGGAATCCAAGAGACCACCTTGGCCAACAAATCTTCCGGCAGCCGAGCAAAGAGGCTCTTATCCTGACACGAAGCCATGCCCCGAGCGTTTCACAGAGCGTCTGTGGTTCACCAAACCTGGGAGCGGAACCAGCTCTTGAAAAGCCGATGTTCTTCTTAAGGTAGCGGTCTGCACTCCAGGGTCCATTAAGGCACTGAGCCAACAAAAACAACTATCCAAAGAATTCATTTGTCAGGATGCTAGCAAGTGCTACATCTGCAACTCTCTCGTGAGAATCCGCCTTCACGGGTATTTGGAGCCCCTTCAGAAGTGGAAACCCCTCGTACACGACCAAAATACCTTGATACCTTTGCCTCTGTATACTTTGGGGCGTCTGAAACAGTGCCGCAAGTCTTACCCGAAAAAAACTTCTTGTTTTGCAGCTATCACGTACAGCTGTTCCCAACCTGGGTCAGTTCCTCAAGCACTGATCGAAAGGCCCCTTGCTACTGGAAAGTGCTCAAAACCAACCTATAAGGTCTATGTGTCACCACCAGCACCGACTCGCTCGCTCTCCATCGCTCCGTGCGACGCCCCGCATCGCGCGCGTCTTTTCTGCGGTTCCGCTCGGTTTTCCGCGTCCGGTTCTTCGCCACTCACCGGCGCAGCGAGCACGGCACAGGCGTGGCGCGCGCCCTGGCGGTCGCCGAGCCCATCCGACCTGGGGGTGGGATGAAACTGTGGAGTGGAAGGTGTCCAAATCGGAGAATGGGTATGTTCCATTTGGTGTTCCAACATTTCCTTCTGGGAAACATCGGGAAATCGGTCCACATCTCCTGATTTTTGGGCCGGAGGCCGTCCAGGCTGTTGAGCCTGTCAGCTGCCCCATTGGTTCGGTAAGAAATCATAAGACATCCGACATCCCTATAGTGAAACCGCGAGGATATCCATCTATGGGTCTGGTTGACTAGGCCGTCAGTCGGACGGTCAATAGGTGTGTGGCTCACCTCTTGAAGCCAAACCTGAAGAGTGCGCTGCTTCGACGGTCGTTAGGTTTCGCTCGATGCATCGCATCGAGGCTGCCAGTAGTCGTTCCCAAAGGGTGTTGGGATGAGTCTGACCTTTGGAACCACTAAGGGGTTAAGCTGCTAAGCTGCGATTCCAAGTGTGCACTATGATGCATTATGATGTATTATGTTGTATTATGTTGTAATGCCAGGACGCCAAGATGTGCCCAAGCTAGATCAGTCTTGTCCTTCAGTCTTTCCCTTGCCCAGTGACCCACCGGCCGTAACTCCACCGGCCGCAACTTCGGCAGGCTTGGGCCCAGCGGAGACTGTGCACGGGCACCGCGACAAAGGATGGCCGCCACGGTGGCCGCCGCCGTGAAGCGTCGGGCGCCACCCATGAAGCTCATGCTGACCTCGTGTCGCGGAACACGCATGCAATTTTGTACTTGTTTAGCCTGAAAATGACATGTCACCTCCTTGGAAGCTAGGGACTTGTTGGAGCTGCAGTGGCCAAACTGGTCTGGATAATATATAAACAATTAGACAACCAAAATCATCTGCCAGGACATTCTCTTAGAACCCTCAATTCGTGCCACCTGAGGTCAACCCTGATAACGCTATGCCCTCAGCTCCAAGTCACCCTCTGTGGTGCGCGTACAGCGCGCGCGCCGGCGCGGGGCGCCGGATCCAGTAAGCGTCCCAGCAAGTGGCGTCGATCTGTGAGTTGAGCAGTGGAAAGCTGCAGCAAGGGGCCTCATATCAGAGCTGCAGCAGTTGAGTGGCAACTCAATGGGCCTTGGGTGCCTAAGAAGACCATTCAATGGACCAAATGGACCAAGGGGGGTGCTTATAAGGGAAGCCGGCAGGGCTAGTCTATTGAATTGGACACCTTTGGATGGATGGAAATCAAAGAGTCCAGCTGAGTTGGCAAAATGTTCGAGGGTTGCAAGCCGAAAGCTGTCCGAATCTGAAGGACTCCTGGCGGGGAAGCTGATTTGGAGAAACGCTCCATCCATCCATCCATCCATCCATCCATTTCCATGTCCATGTTCATGTCCATATCATATCTATATCCATATCATATATATATATATATATCCATATCCATCCAGAAAGTTTCGAGACTTTCTTCGTCCCCTCCCAAGCTCCATATCCTCACACGCCGTGTCACCATAGTCCGGCGTCCGGAACTTGATGAGCGGCACCCCTTCGATGAGCTGCTCGGCACGAGTGTCCTCCAGCAGCAAGACCTGTGGAAATGGCGGTTGATGTGTGACAATCACCTTGGGCCTGTGGAAATACAAATGAGGTATGAGCTGAGTAGAGGTATGTCATCCTTACAGTAAGTAAGTGTGACAATCACCTTGGGCCAGTGGCAATGCTTGGAGGTATGACATGATTTACAAATGATTAGAGCTGAGTAGAGGGCAGAATCTTTGGCGGCATCTAGTGAATTGCGGATGATAAGAGACGTGCTGGCACGGTCGGCTTTTTCACTTAAGTTACAGCCGGGGCAAACTGTAAATGACGATGGCAATGGCACGTGAATCCACGCCTCTTATCTATACAAACATCTGCATTCCAAACAGTATACAGGATACCTTTATTATGTCTCCTACTCAGTCGGTCTTCCCCTTACCCTCAAGATTCACCAACTCCCAATGTCACTTCGTCATATATCCTCCATTCCTCTCACCCAGTTCCACCCACTTTCCACCTCTTTCCATTCCGCGCCTGTGCCATGTGCATGTCACTGGCTTGCGCCACCATCTGCAGGCGAAAGGCAGTGTCAGCAGCATTGACCTTGAGGAAGTCGTCGCGCCAGGCACGGCGGCTCTCAGGGTCGGTTTCCAGCAGCCGGTGGCACATGGCGTGGATCGCCAAATATTCCCGGAACCTCAAGAGGCGGGCTGGGCGGCCACGCCAGCACCCAGCAGGACATAAAGGAAAGTAGATAAAGAGTTTGGATCAAAGGCACGAACATTTGGGTTGAGCGAAGGGATCTATCAGCTATCACTCAGATCTGCTGTACATATGATGACAAATTGCTCATAGCTTGTGTAATCTTGTGTAGTATGATGCAAATGCCCTCCTAAGTGGAACCAAACAAATAGACGATGAGGGGAGGTACCTGGAAGACTCCTCTTGCTCCACAAACCTGCGTCTGCTTCATTCACTTCTTCCATATGTATTCAAGTGAGTCTACTTCTTGAAGTGTTTCACTTCTTCCATGTGTCTTAACAATTTTACAGTGACCCCCCAGCAATTCTTTGGTTTTTGTAGCCCAAGCTCCTTAGTAAAACAATTGCACGTCAAGTGGGAAAACAAATCCCAGGGTATATATTGGAACATGTTGCACATCTTTGATGACCTCGACCTTTCTCGGCGGGTTCCTCCGCCAGCTCAAAAGGGTGCTCGCGCCCTGCCTTGCTGAGTGACCTGCCCACCCTCCTAGTAGCGATGCCAGCACCCCATGTCGTCCTCATGTCGATCTCAATGGCCACCCTGACCAGGTGCAGACCCCCTGCATCAGGTGACTCCATGCCGGAGCCCTGGAAGTCTCGGTTCAGCTTCTCAAAGCCTGAGAGGTCCAAACCTGAAACTGAACGCAATGAGGATGGGAGTTTCGCCACCCAGTGGGCAAGAGGATGTGGAAGAATAGAAGAACATATATATATACATACATTGTTGGTATCATGTATATACATGCATTTTTTAAACGGACTCCCGATGGATCGGAATGCCCGTACTAGTGAGAGGGTAGTGACCAGCTTTGGCCACGAAAAGGGAATCGACCAGGTGCACTCCGTCCGAACACATCACATGGAAATGGAAACTTCTCTTGCTCCTAAAGGAAAAGAGTCATCCCAGGGTCAATGTCCCACTTCCACTTTAGTGAATGTTAGTGTCTCAGAGTGTAGTGAAAGGGGCACTGATAGGATTGCACCAAGAACCCCAGTGACACCTGCTGTAAGAGCTAAAACCATGATCCTTTCCCATCAAAACAGACGTCAAATCAGTTCTCTTTAGATGCTCTGTAGGTGCGAGACTGCATAAGTTACACCAGCAGCTGCGCCTGTCCGGAACACCAGCAGCTGCTGTCCGCCACGCCACCCTTCTTGCGGGAACTTCCCTGTGACCAAGCCGACACGACTGAGCACCAAGAAACCTTTGTAGAGGCGGTGCTTCAACAAGCCGTCGATGCCCAAACGATCCTAAGCTCAAAAGCGCATGGACGGTATCAGAGAGAACCACCTAAGGACTCAAAGAGGCAACTGACTCTCCAAAGGTTTGTCAAGAATGCTTGAAAGCTATCAGAAACTAGGACATGGGGGCACACATTCCACGGGAAGGACTCCGCGGATTTGAATTTGAAAGACACATCTCCACAAATCCTGCCCATTTCAGCGAATTGGTTGCTGAAGAACTCAGCCCGAGGCCAACCCTCCCCACATTTTTCGTGCGTTTCACCAAGCTCCTTCGCCATCCCAAACACCCAAAGTCGGACCAGGATCCTGAAAAAGCTCCTTGAATATCTCCCTCCATCGCATGAAGAAGGGGTTCTCTGGCTTAGTTGCCAAGCACCAGCTCTCCACAAAGTCTTGGCCTCGAGAATGAGTCAACTCAACCGTCTTGAAACTGGGAATCGTCTTGAAACTGGGAAAGTCACATAGTTACTTGACAAATCACCAGCCTTCGAAGGGGCTAAAAGAAAGTTCTTAATGCCCATGTAAAAGCGGCTCTTTACCCACCATCGATGACACATCCACGACGGATGTGCAAGGAACTTTCGACACGTAGGGACCAACAACTGAAGAAGGCACACCGAACCTCTTGCACACGGAACCCTCATACTTACCCTCATCAGGTGACATCTGGAACAGGTGATCTGGAACATCGGTGGCACATGAAGGTATACAGTATATATGTAAAAACATCCACTAGATGATGGCATCCTCAAACACACATGATAAGATATGATAAGCATATAACCCCCAATCTCCATGTGTTCTTTTGATCCCTCGACCCCCGGATTGTTCTTTTGATCCCTCGACCCCACTGCGTCCGAGGACGCCTCGAATTTTTCTGGCATCGTTTCCCCCCAAACAACAGCCAACAGCCGCCTCCGAGCGCTTCGGTGCCGTAGGAGGGGTGGAAGAACACGCAGGCCGGCGTCCCATGACGGATGGCGTTCCAGCAAAGTCGATCCAGCGAGCCACAGAGCAAGATATTCACCTCGACGCCGAGCTCGGCGACGGGGCGACGGCGGCGGAGTCGATCCGCCGACCAAAGCAACGGGCACCGGAAGAAGTGCGGCGGTTTTGGCAGAGCTGGCCTGAGAGGTAAAACTAGGGGTGGCCTAGGGGCCTGCCATAGGAGACATTCCCATAGGCCGACGGCGGGCACGGGCAAATGAAATTAGAAGCCGCGATTCCCCATGACGCAAGTCTGAGATCACCATTTGCAATAAAAAGCTTTGAGATTGCCAAGGCACTTCTAAATGTAATGATTTATGAACTTTGTTCTTACTAGCTTGCTGTCATTGCAGAATCCGTCCACCTCGCACAAGCACCAATATCAAGGCGAGCAACATCAAGCCAAACGCCGCCATAGCGACTGAGAACTCCGAGGCGGACCGCATCGGAGGCAGTCTGATGCGACGTCATGTCCTGAGTGCGGACCGTGAGTTGCCCGGCGCGAATGGTTTCTACGGTACAAACACCAAGGCACACCGGGGTGTGTCGGGGTGGTTTCTGAGAGTCTGGCTTACATTAAGGGGGTGTCCATGAAACCACGGCGTGGGTGCTGGCATGGGTTCTCATCTCCCATCCGGATTCATTCATGGCAAGATTGAAGGAAGTCACCCCGTGGGAGGCCTTCATTATTTCTAAAACATGTTCTCCGGAGATTCACCTATTGTATCCCTAGGGATCCAAGTACCTTCTCAGAAGGTACTTAGACCCTCAAAACCTACATAACAGTGCTCCAATCACCTTCTGAGAAGGCACTTGGATCCCTAGGGTATTTCGACCATTTGCAAAAGGATCTGTGATTCTTGGGTGGATCGTGTCGATCGAGAAGAATCCCAAAACAAGACTGGGAACTCAATAAATTAGGCATCTTATATGGGAAAGAATTGGCTTTGGGACTGCCAAAAAGATTTAATTTATAGTAGACTCAAGGCCACAAAAAATACTATATAAACATGTTTAAGGAAGAACATCCTCCAAGAAAGAAAAGTTCCAACAGGGACAACGTGTACCTTTCTTTGTACCTTTGAATTCATACTTCTAATACTCATTGTGCGCAACCCTAAACCCAACTGCTGGCGCCACGGCTCAAAGAAGCGATTGGGCAGCTCCTCTTCTAAGAGGTATTCCAAGACCGTTGACTTCCTGGGGCGCATGGCCGTTCGTTCCGGACGCTGGTCGGATGAAGGTGGTGCTACCCAGCTTCTTGCTACTAGAAGTAAGGCCAGGAGCCCCCTAGTAGCGTCCTTGCTCCTAGTAGCGATGCTCCTAGCTTCTTTCTTAGCTCTCTGCTCGTTTTTTTTTTGGGGGGGGGCACGGCCTGGAACATGTTTGCCTACCAGCCTTTTTGGGTTCGGTGGCGGTCGATGGGGAGGAGACCGCATGACCAATTGGAGGAATTCCCTGGAAGATTCAATCACCGTCTATTTTTTTTGTGGGTGACCTGGGGTGTGTGTAGTGGTACCTTATCAGCTTAAAGACCAATTGACCCACCCATTGAACACAAGGACATTTACAGTGGTCCCCAAATAGATGGAACGGCTTCCAATACATTCTTAGCGGGGATCTGCTTTTCTATCTAGTTATTTGGGGGTCTATATGTGTCATTGCATTTGTGCTGCAAGCTCCCTTTCCCCTCGAAAGTTCCTCAAGGCAAGGTCCATGCAAAGGTTTTTTTGGACAACCCCACTTCTGTGTCGTGATGTTGGGTCTTGTTGATCGTGTTGGTCTTGTGCCCGTCATGCAGTGCGCACCAGCACCCAATAGATACTATATGGCATGGAGTAAGCAATAGCTCTAGTGAATATGAAGCAATGAAGACTCTTGCTTGGTTCTATTTCAGCCCCCCCATATACGAAGAGAGGTTCAATCATAACAAGGAGTAGGATGATCCATTTTCCAACTCTTTTCCGAGTCTACCTGCTCCACCGAGCGCCTCAAGCACCTCTCCACCCCGAGGTGATTCGGTCCAACCCATGGTTCATTCCGGATGGAGCACCGAAAATCAAAGAATGGATCCCTGGATGATAAAGGATCTCCATTCCGGATGATAATGGATCTATCTTCTGACGGATGATCAAGGAAAGGATGGAAGCTCATTCCGGATGGCTCCTTCCGGCACTCCATCTTCCCTAAGCTACGTCGGCGATGAAAAAAGGCCGCCATTTTCCAAGTCAAAACCGAAGGACCTTGGAGCGAAACCTCCGGGTTAGGGCGTTCACCCATAGGCAGGGTCATGTGGGGAAAACAAACCTACTATCCCGTTAGAATCGTTCAACCAAAACTATAGGAACAAGTTCACTGCAGGATCACAGTCACAGGACTCCATGTGACTCCACACCCCAAATAGGATCTCTTTTCGAGGTGCTGGAGGATCCTCACATCCCAATGGGGATTGGTGCGCTGCCAGGTGTTCACACAAAGGCGGAAGAACCTGGGCCACCGGATGGGCCCGGACCCCCCGTGAAGTGCAGACCGTCGAATGCCGGAGAATCTGTAGGGAAGCTCTGTGGAAGCCATACACCAAATGCAGATCTTCCTGTAGGGCTTAGCAAGGACATCTGCAACGTGCCATCTAGTTTTGACGATCCTCTTCCTGAGGTATAGTAAGGTTCGAATGGTTTTAATCCCGGGCCGTTGCTGTCGGGGGTTCTAGAACGGGCAGGCAGCTCTTGCTCAAAGTCATGATCAGGCTGGCAAGGTGGAAAGGAAAATATGATCCACTGTTGGAGTACATGACCTGCCTTGTGAACAGGAGGTGCAAGTCGGAAAGGATTCCTTTCCAGCAATGGCCTGGCTTGACATTTATCCAAGCCATGTATGATAACCCTTGGACAGGATGATCAGGGGTGTCGACGGTGGCGATGAAATGTTTCTTTCAAGATTTGTCAATCATTGTGACGAATTGTTGCGCCACCCTCCCAGAGTCCTCCAAAGTCCAAGTCATCTCCACCAGGAGCGCCACCAACACGGAACAAACCCCAACACCAAGCGCCACCAAGAAATGGAGGGGCAAAAAAGGAAAATCCCTCCCAAGCCCCCGAGCAAAAGTAGACTGTAGATGCAATTCTGGGTACGAAGGATTCAACTCAGTCGTCATGTGTGTAGACACTATACATATGTCTCTCTTTATCTCTCTCGCATTCTCTCTCTCTCTCTCAGCATGAATATATATATATATATTAAATTAATTGTTATTATATGTTGTTTTTGTTAAATATATGTACTTCTATAATAACACACAGAAAAAGGTATGGCACCCGTATGTGGCAACCGGTATTTGCATGTATAATATGTATAGGTAAAACGTGCGCAGTCTGACCTGAAACATCCTGAAGCCCGTTTCAGGGAACTCCGGCATCTGCTCGTGCCCCTGTGCCCAGTACGCCCAGATTGTCCGCGGATTCACCTGCCGTGCGAAGCCAGAGAGCTCAAGACTGAAGAGTGGATGCGTTGACATGGAGGGTACGAAGAAGGGCCTCATGGCATGCCAAGCACCTCTTATGTATACGGTACCACAGTGCTTTGGTGCTATTGGTGTAGTGATGTATGTGATGTATGGTGCTAATTCTATTATATATATATATATGAAACCACTTGTTTTGTTTTCGCTCGGGCTTGTGACGGTAAGCGACCAAACTACAAAGTGAACCTTATGAACCATAGCATGGCCTTGGGATGTCTTCGGGGAGTACTGTAATAGTACAGTACAAAACATAATTAATTTGGATGAGGACACCTTTCACCCCACTCCACTCACTCCACTCCGCTCCTCGCCACACCGCAGCGGCTTCTGACTGGCTTCTGACTTGCTTTCCGCGGGCTCCGGAGGGACGGGCTCCGCGTCCTTGAGGACGCCGGCACGGCCAAGGGGGCCGTAGCGCCAGTCTTCATCCCCTTCCTCTTCGTCGTCCATGGCACGAGAGGCGAGTTCTTTGGCTCAAGAACGCTGCGGCGTTCTTGAGGTTATGTAGGGGTGAAGCCGGTGAAATGGGCCTTTGGTGGGCAGGAACTTGCTGAACATATTGGAAGGACACATGCAGCTGCAAACTGCAGCATGTGCCACAAAATGTACGCATCAAATGCAAGTTTATCAGTGGTTCAAACTAGGTTCCCCCAAAAAAGGCTCCCCTCAAGCCTTGAGACAATCCATCTGGAAATGTGTGAACACAATGAGCACACGTGAACACCCAATATTCAAAGAACAGTCCCACGTGCCGCCCCAGAGTGCCGAGACTCGAAAAGCCCCACGCGGGAGGAGAGCAAAGAGACCAAGAGCCCTTGCGCCGGAGCATCTTCGATCGATGTGACAGGGGGGGTTATTGTGGATTGAGAGGACCAATGGCACAAACCCCAAGTTTGGTGGTTTATATGAACCCCATGTAAAGGACATCTTGAGGTCTGCGCCATCTACTCTGAAACCACTGTAGATTTACTTGTCTTTAGCGTGTGATGCACCTGCCTGTCTGTGCCTATCTCTCGCATGGTCGCTGTGTGTTGCAGTATCTATGTTCGATACTGGGCCATACCACCGCAAAAGGACCCCTTGTGCTTGGCACGTTCACACCGACATCGCGGCACCGCAAACAGAACCTTAAACTAGGGTCTACAAGCAACCGCGTCCCAGGGTCTAATTCAGCCGCTGTCACCCCTCCAACAAAAGGTCGCCATGATGGCGCAAGGGGAAATGAATTCAATTCAATCGTCAGAATCACATATTTCTCTATCTTCTTTGCGTGACCTAAACATCATCAATCACTGCCACTCAAACTACTCTACATCAAATGCTCAGTCACTGCTACTTCAAGGCGATTTGGAAGAAGGCAGGGCAGCTGCGCCGCTGCCCAGTAGGAACAAAAAGGTCACTGCCAACATGGACAGGGCTTCGCCGACCACGGCAGCCAGCGCCGACGAAAAATGTCGAAGGGTCGATCCGAAGTGGGCGTTTCACCAGTGGAACGGCGGAGCTCAAAGACCAGAATGGGTTCTACTGAAAAAAGAACTCCTAGAAGTGCATGGTTAAAGGATTGACGATAGCTGTGCGAGCTCTCCTTCCTTGCACTCCGGTGCTTGTTGGTGTGTATTTATGTTTATAAGGGAGAATCCACAGGAAAGACCCAGTTTTGCAGGTGAAAACCCTGCTTTCCTGTACATGTTCACCAATTGTAGGATCTACCTGATGATCTTCACATTCACCATAAGTGTGGCTCAAAAATCCGACCGGACTCAAAACATGCCACCAAGTCTATTTCTTGCTGCAGGAGGAAAAAGTACTAAAACCCAGTGACTTTAGCCACTTAGACTTACATCCACCACCTTTTGCCAGCGGATTCACGTGGAAACCGCCATCCAAGAGGCCTGGGGCTCCAGGAACATCCAGTTGCAAATCCTCCCAGGATAAAACCAGCCTTCGCTCCGTGCCCGGTGGTGGCACAGGAACCCGGTAGAGTGGAGATCTTCCCTTTTACTGGATCAGGAACTGCAGCCGTTGAAAAAGCAGAAGCATGAAGAAAACAGGTTCATCTACAGACTCCTGGGAAATGGGATGGGGCCAATCAAACACTTCAGGTTCCCCATGTAGCGTCTCTCGTTTCCGTTCTTGCAGGTCTTTAGCTGGTCCATCCTCAACCGACATGTTTCTAATAGGTTCTAGTAGTGGGCTTCCACAATGTTATTGTCTCATAAGGATCCCCTCCATCCTAACATGCCAATCCCTCATCCAACAGCGGCTCAAAATTCACCTGGGGAAGGTTTGATGGCCAGCTGGTTCGTTCGCGACGCGCCGTTTTCCAAGCGGCTTTTCGAAGCCACGGGCCAACTGGGCCGTGGAGAGCAGCTCATTCTCATGGAGCGTCAGCAAGAGCCTGTCGCAAGGGTCGGGGGAACTCCCTCCCTCGGCGTCGCTCGGTGAATGAAACCGGCTAAGAATTTTCATGGCGAAAACGGGGTGATCCTTTATATGGATGTAAATGTACTGTCAGAATAGATGTTACAACATACTTGTTAAATTACAGTCTAATGTTGCATGTCCGGCACCACAGGAGGGGGACGCATGTGCAGCTTCGAAGCTTCGCTCGGGGAGGAACTCTCCTGGTTTGGCGCCCTCCGCAGTCCAAAAGCTTCGGAGCCCGATGTCTTAGCCAATGCCAATTCCCTATGGATCTACATACCTTCTGAGAAGGTGATGGGAGACACTCTGATGCAGGTTTGGAGGGTCCTGAAGCCTGAAGGCTTCGGAAAAAACGGGAAACTTCAGGTGTCACATCCCACCACTTGGACATGTCGACCTTAGCTGCGGCAAACTTCCAAGCTTTTCTCACCTGTTTTCTTCGGATCTTTTCTGGGTCAAACACCGGGAAGGTCATGGATCCAGTTGCAGCTTCTGATGTGGCACATATCAGGTGTCCACACACCCTTGGATGATTGATTGCTACTTTTGGTATTCAAATGAGATCACATGCTTGGGAATGGCTGATGATGTTTGTTTGACCATAGTCCCAGCGCCCCGAGGTGTGCTCGCCAATGGTCTAGTATCTATGACTCTGTTCAGAGCTTGTAAAAGACACCTTTTCTGGTCACTAAAAAGGCTGCTTTTTGATGCTGGCTTCAGGCTGTTGAATGATGTTGTATATGCCAGAATGTAGAACTGATAGAATCGAAGTAAAAACACCCAAATGGAAAAGGCCAGAACGGGCTCAATATCAGAGCGGAAAAAACTACTTATATAACTGCGTTATCTTAAATTCAATGGCAATGCACAATCCAGTTCAGGATGACATATATTTGGGGGGTACGCGTTCATAGTACGGTACGCTGGGGACATATCAGCGGTACAGTACGGATTTCCAGGTTAGTGGGTTAGGTGCATACAGTGCTTAAAATACTTACAGTAAACAAGCTTCCTGTGCCTGTCTTCCAGAGCTGGCGGCTGGCGAATATGCTTGTTGCTGACTGGGTCTGTCATGGGCAATGGCCCTGGCCATGCCTCTCTCTCCAACATTTCGGGTCTGACGGGTTTGACCAGGTGTACGGATGATATCCCAACAAACTCATCACTTGACTGCTAAAACCTTCAATCTAAGCTGTGGCGCCACGGGCGCTTGCCCTTCCAGGCTCTTTCATTCCGAAAAAGCACTGCATGTAACTCCATTCTCTCGCCGGTGGACCGGTGGACCGGTTGACCGTTCGTCTGGTCTCGGGTTCTTCCAGGGCACGGGATGACGGATTGTCTAGTGGCATCCTTCTGGTCCAGCGAGGCTCTCAGAAGTAAGGCTGCAAGCTCATCATGGAAGGGCAAGCATCCCAAGCCTGCACGCTTTGGGATGAGGAAAATCGTGGACCTGAAAGGGTCGATGTGAAATTTTGGGTCACAAATGGTCACAACACTCACAACGGGAGATGCTGTTGGTCAACTTTGAGCACGGTCTGATGCTCTGGCATCTCTTCTATGTATTTACGACCCGCAGTAGAGAAGTCGTCAAACAAGAGCACCTTAGAGGAGTGTTGTCTGATGCCTTGCTTCTTGTGCCTTGGATTCAGTTGCCACATGCTTGCCACTGGGATCCTCCACCCGACCAGCTGGGAGTCCACACATTCTCGACCATCCTGGAACCCATCACTGACATACTCCAAGTCCAACAACCCCAATCCCCCGAAGCAATCCATCCAGCCTCCTGCTATCCTGTCTTTGCACCATCCACCATTTGGAATTAACATCACTTTGGATGGTGGATGGATGGTGACTCATCTTCGACCATCCTTCCCCCGCCAAGGGGCCCAGAGAAACAGATTGAATCTCGAACCTGGGGGCGCCACCATCTCCCCGCCTTTCACGGAAGCCACCATCCCCTCCACGTCCTGGGAGCAAAAGAACTCCTCGGATGAGAGCGGAGGAGTGGAGAGTGTTGCATGAAGCTGGTCCCTTGAAAGACCTGGCTGGGTAATGTAAATGGACATTTGATTGCCAGGCCTGACAAGGTCAGGAGGTTAAACTTAAAAATTCTATAAACTAGGTTGGTAGGGGTGGTATTGACATACACTCCCGCGAACACATGGCATGAAGCCTTAACCCCCCACATGCGTGATCATGCGTGATGAAGTGGCTATATGCGGTACAAAACCAGGTGGTCATACAATCCGGAATCATGACAGGTTCTAATAACATGCGCACCAAACTGGGCGTGGAAAACACCTGAGTGTGGAAATGCAAAACTCTGCGCTACGAATTGCACAGGCTGCCCAAATTTGAGAGCCCGTCAATCATCAAGAAAGCGTTGTCCTGCTCCAGGTCCCACGGACCAACGTTCATCGGCTTCCCCAAGAATCTGAAACTCTCCGATGCAATTATGCCAAAGGTTCAACGGTGGTTTTATGTTGTTGTTTTGACGATGTCACTTACTTTTGGTCACGAATCAGCGGGGTGGCTCGCCCAAACCTCCCGTGAACCGCACCGGTCCTCCGGTCTGCTGCACCGGTCCTCCGGTCCTGCACGCTTGGCCCACCGAGGTGCTTCGGCCAAGGTCCGGGCCTCGCGCTTGAAGTCCTTGAACTCCAGGCGCGTGTCGTCCGGTGGGTCCGCGCACGTGGGACTCGGCACCTGATCCGAGCTGCGGAGGCGGATCAGTCCCTGTCCAAGTGTAAAACCGGCGCATGGCAGGGTGATTCTTGCCTGAACCAAGGCCGGTGAGGAAGATTCACGGAGTGAGACCGGCTGACCTCTCTCACTCCCCGCCATTCACCTGTCGCCAGGATGAAAGAACATCAACACAAGGGAACCGCCCCACCTCTCCTGACACACTGACGCTTCAGCTACAGTACGTGTTTTCGGATGAGTTCTGTGCAAGTCATCGTTGAAACAAACGGTGACAAAAATGGCACGACCCTGCATGCTTGTTTCCCCGTGACCAGCCTGCTAGCAAAAATCCTTAAACATCGGCCAAAACAATCAAACACGTTAATCACCAAAGCATTCTTCCCCAGTTTCCCTGGAAAATGCAAGTTAACATAGTGTTTTCCACCTGTTGGCTCTTATTGTGCGGGCATTGGGGCACCAATCCGCTCCCTTTTGACACCTGTTGGATTTCAGTGGGGTAGCCAATCCCCAAAAGGTTAAAGGATGTTACTGTATCATGTTATCAGGTTATCCACTTGACTATATCCCAAACACTCCATGTCATATATGCCTATACATTGGGATGGTTTTGGGGGTCAATGTAGGCATATATGGCAAATGTGGAGTGTCTGGGTATAGGAAAGCCCTCTTCCCAAGCATCTTGACACCACAGGATCCACCAAGACATTCCCCCCAAGAAAACCACAGGGAACCACACATTCCCCACGTCCACGTCCCACGTTCCCCTTTGGCGTCCGCAAGCCACGGCACCTTGCAATCCACCAGTCGGCAATTGGGGCTGATCTGCCTTGCGAAGGAGGGGCCCATCTCTGAGTCCAAGTCCGCCTGGAGCAGGAAAATGACTGTCTCTCTCTCTCTCTCTCTCTCTCCCTCTCTCCAGGGCCATTGGCCACGCAGTCCTGCCATTTTACATGGCATGGTTTGGACATGCTGTCGGATGTCTCGGGTCTCTGTGAGATGCCTCGGAGGGTGTGAATTCCCACCCAGACCTCCGCTCCGGATGGGCCTCGTCCAAGGGCTGGGCAGGGCCCTGCCTGGAGCGCTGTCGTGAACGAAGAGAACTGATGAACGCATGTTTTTCAGCCTCAAAGAACGACACGTTTCATGGCATCTTGTTGGAGGAATCCTCGCAGTTTCTTGCGCATTCCAACCTGCCAAACTCCAGAATCACATTGAGTGATATTGGACTGTAATTCAGTGGTTGCATTCGGTCAACCAAACTGCTCGCATGCACTCTAGAGTTGGCTCATTCATGTTTGTGGGAGGCATCTCCTGCCTGGGAAAGCCATGGTCGCTGAAGCATGCTGTCTTCGCCATGGCGCAAACACGCCGTCACAACGCTTGGGCACGGCGCGGACGGTTTGGGGGGATTTTGAGCTGTAAACCGCAAACATGGAGGCGCCCGCTTGGTCAGGTGTACTCCCCCTCAAGATATGTGTGGTTATATGAAATTGTCAGGGGATGGCATGCAGGGCTTGCCAACCAACATAATTTTGTTGTGGAGGGCTGAGCTGCATTGGAAAATGCAATCATCTCCCCCGCGAGATAGCAACATCAGGAAAGGGCCGCGTTCTGGACCCATCGTGGCGGCCTTGCCCGACTGAAGCTCACTAGGACGGTGGGACTAGTCCAGTGCTGGGACTCTATCCAGCATTTTTGCGAGAAATACTGGAAGCACAGAAGGAACCCATGTCCCATGTTGAGGGCGCCACTGGAGGAGAAGCAGTCAGTCGTCCAAACCGCCATGAACACCGACCCCAAGGATCCCAGCGCAGCCAGGGAGTCGGTCCCACTCCAATCCAATCCAATTCCATCCAATCCAATTCCAACTCCTTAAAACAATGCCATCCAACACCGGCCACCAAATGAGGGTCCCCACCGCCCGTTCGCCGACGCCTACGCTCCATCCCACCATCATCCCTCTGAGCATCGGGCCCCAGCTCGTCCAATCCTCGCAGTCTGAGGGAAGGAGCGGACGGCCCATGACCGATGAAGTGGGAAGGGGCTGGGCACGATTGGACTGACCTTGAGCATCCCACAGCGCGGCGACCCGCGGTCGGGGTCTGAGGATCAAAGCTGAAGCTACCTGCGAGGCGCACCTGCGATGGTCGCCATGACCCTGGCACCGATGGCACCTGGCTGGCGGTTGCGATTCTGGTGGGGGATACGAGTCCGTCACACTTCCAAACCTTCCAACAGTTTCTGGCGGTTTTGGTGGGCTCAAAACGCTGCAGCTGGCGATGACCTATTTGACACGGCCTCGCCTCCGACTGGCTGTGGGAGTTTGTAGCAAGAACAGTGCTGAAAGCCCAATGGATCTTTTTCTGGTTCTTACAGCCACAAATCCAAAGAAAGGAATTGCTTGTCAGGATCCCTATAGGGTATAACTTCAAGTGAAACTGGTCGAGTTGGACAGGACACAATTATAGATTGAATTTCCCGCATCTCACTAAACACACACCAACCCAGTACCACAAAGATTGAGGTGTGTTTTTCCCCAAACCCTCAACCACAATTCCTCCTTTGCAAAGACATGTCAGTTGAGAGATGGTTTCTATGAAATGAACAGATCTATCATCTATCTATAACTAATAATTAGTTATAAATAGTAATTACTTGCCTGAACTGTGAACAATAAGGCCTCCTGAGATAACACATGAAAGCAACTAAATTGAGTGTATCTTCGCGGCTTATGGCATGCACCAAATGGCGCATGGCAACTTCTGGCAGGTGCGCCCCAGCCTCTCGTTACTAGAGCTGAACATGCTTGGCCTCTAAGGCTCGCCACAAATGACTGGCCACCAACAAACCTTACAGGTGACATAGCCTCGAACGGGAGACTTAACACTTCCTCCCATCTCTCAGTGCCACGAGGGTGCGCATGGAGGCGGAGGCTGCGCGCCTAGAAGCGCCTCGTCATGAACGGCCAAGCGTGCAAAGCACCAGGCCTTGGACCCGTGAGGTGGCTCAAAGCGAGGAATGCGGAGGAAAACAACGGGGAGAAGACGGGTGTCCACCGACAACGCGCGCAAACTGGTCTTAGGAAAGCCAAGATGATGGGTTCAAAATTTCAAAAGGAGGCTAGAACATAAACAAAAACATGTGCTGGACATGTGGTTGCAACTGCGTTGTAGGCCTTGAGCCTTCTTTAGGAAGCTTTAGCCCTTTTCTCTCATTCTCTATCTCCATCGCCCAGTTGGCCAAGCCCCTGATAGTGACCGGTCAGCAAGGCGGGACGGGCAGCCGCTGGTCGTCACACCAGAATGTCGGCACGGGCTTCACCCCCACGAATGAGTAACGATGGTTTCTCACGTGAGACAAAATCAGTATTTACTCATTCGATCTGTCTGTTGATCGTGTCTGATCTTTTCTCTCCTTTTCAGTTTTGGTCACCTTGAAGGAAATCTCAGGAGCCGGATCCTGCGGCTCCTCACCGCTGTGTCCGAGCTGAGCTCCTGGCACTGTTTGCCAGGTCTTGGCACTGCAAGAGTTCCACCTGTGCAGCGCCGACTGAAGCTGATTCGCCCGCCTCAAGGGCTCATTCGACGGGCTTTCCACAGGTGTCCTTGGAGCCCTCTTTTGGGGGGGTCGAGTGGATGGCGCAGGAAGGGCGCAAAAGACTGGAAGTGGAAGTGGAGTGGAGCCTCCCATTCTTCCAAACAGAGGCATCATAATGTCAGGAACTGTTTTCCACTTGCATGGTATGGTAGTCACTCTTAGTGCCCATGTTGACAGGTTGAATCTTGCTTTTGTTCCGTCTATTCTGAAGGATGGCTGATGCCGCTGAGCACTGCAATCGTACATTAATGGCGGAGATTCACTTAGAATACAAATCCAAAACGCGGAGTGCGCCAAAGAACATCAGCAGCATATAGCCAAGAGAATGATTGTTGTATAAAAGGTAATAAAAGCAGTGCTGGGCTTAAAACAGTCTAAAACCATTCTGCAACCAAATACGTAGATGATAGCAAGCAGAAATCTTGAACGCCAGCAAGCATACTTGTTTTCCAAAGTGGGCGTGGCCCTGCCTTGTTGTGACCTTCGATCATCCCAAGTATGTATAACCAAGATTGATGTGTTGATTTCTAATTAAGGCTTTCTGGAACACCTTTCGGAACCCAACCGGCGACCTTGTCACAACACGCGCCAAACCCAGCGGATTTTTAGCGAACCCTCCGGAACCTTGCCAGAAACCTGCTGGACGCCATGCCGCAACCCTTCTGGAACCCTCTTCAAAACCCCCTAAAAAACAACCCTTTTGGCTCATCCAGGCATTTGCGACCTTCTTTGGGAACCCAAAACCGGCACCCTGCGGAGAAAACCCGAAAAACCCAGCCAGCAGCCCAAAATGGGACCGTCGGCGACCGGCGACCGGCAGCCGACGAACCAGATCATCCATGTGTTAATCATCTTGTTGTTATTGTTGTGCATGCTGCATGAGTTCCTTAATATTTTAGATCAAAAAACATACACTTGGAAACACAATAAGACATAGTAAGACTAAGAAATGGTGAGCCCTTAACTTGGAAAACAATAAGACATAGTAAGGCTAACAAATGGTGGGCCCTTATGAAGTTTGCACGGTTTATTGCGTTGGGAACAATATTCCCTAGAAGGCTAGTTAGAAGGGATCCACCCACCAGGAAAATAGACCTCACCTTAAGCAAAACCAGGAGCACCTACGGGCTCTTTTTCGCCCACCTGTCGCCCACACCTCCCCGCGCCACATCGCCGCGGCACATCACCCCAGCGCATCCCGCCTTGCGACGCGCCTCCGCAGCGATCGCTTGGATCAAGGCCGGCCTTGAGGAGTTTCGGGGCGATGCCGGTGATCCCGGACCTCCATGGGATGTTGGTTGATGGGTCTTGTAGGGTCTGAGCAGGTGGACTAAGTGGCAAATCCTGCTGCGGGGGGGTTCTCCGTCGACCTTGGGAAGGAGATGATCACCTACTATACTCTCATAAATGTTTGGGGATGAACAGCACCTTTAGAGGGAGATTCACTCAAAGGGCTAATTAAACATCACCCCAAGCAAAACCAGGTATGCGACTGGTGGCACATCTAGCATCTTCTGACTTCGGTCGGTTTTGATGCTGAAGCCCAAGATTTCATCCAGCTCAGCCCTCTTGGATCTGGTGACCTCTATCATTAGCTACTCCCCAGCCTGTGCCGACTTCCCCCCCTACTCCTCCTCCAAGTAGCGACCGGTACTCCAGGGTGGCCACTGACCAGGCCAGGTTCGAAAGGTTCTGACCTGGACCAGTGCATCGGATCTGGAACTCCCCAAGTTTGGAGGTTTAGGTGGACCCTCATCATAAACACATTTCGGGGGGATTGTGCCATCTATCTACTCTGAAACCACTCTGAAACCACTGCACTTGAAAAGGGAAGCCTGGCCACTGGCCAGGCTATGCTCACACAGGTCGATGTCGTTGATGTGTCTTCCCATCAAGGCCCCCTAGTCCAAACACACCCACAGGCCCGTTAAAGCGACCATGGTCGTTCGTGGGCCCGGTTTCGATCCGATCGTTCCGAGCGTATGCAGCGTATTCCGAGGGTCTGAAGACCGATCTGGCTCTCAGTTGAAAAAGGACATACCTCACACAGCTAAGCACAGCTAGCACGCAAACATACCGAAACTCTACAGCTCCCGGCTTCAATTTCAGAGAAGATAATACAATACCGTCTTTTGAGGACTGATGCCACTCTCGGGCCTTGGGTGCTCATACCTGGAAAGACCCACTGAAATCCTAAACGATCAACGACAAACCAAGGCCAAGACAACAGTGTAGACTCTTGATCAATA